TCCGAGGCCCTCGGGGGTGCGCGGCAGGCTGTGGCCAGCAGCCCGGACACGCCGGGTCGGGGAATGCAGGCTGGCGGGCTAGAATTAGGCACAGACGCTTAGCGGTTGATTAAAGATTATTTTACTTACACCGAAGATGGTCGCGGTGCAGGCAGGAAAACTTGCTTGGGTTGCGGTTACAGATAGAAAAGAAGAGAGGTGGACAAGAGTTCCTTCCACGCGAACCTCTAGCCCAATCCGGTTGAAGGCTCTAAACACGTGAGTCCGTCGCGTCAACCGAAGAAAACAACTCAAAGCAGAGAGATCTGGATACACTCACACGAAGTTTGCTCGGCTCCATGGAACTTGCACGCAGGGAAAAAGGGGTTCGTCGAAGGATTGCGCTCGGCGACGGGGAGAGGCCAGAAGTGTATAAGCCCCCTGTAGCATTCTTAAGGTACACGCTGGGTTCGATAGGCTCCGCAGCACTTAGAGATCTTCACGAGACATGAAGTTCTCCTCCTCCAGATGGTTGTGGAGTCCTCCCTTGCGGGGGTTCTCCTCGGCGTTCTCCAACTTGGGCGGAAACCGCTCAAGCCTCTTATACGGCTAGCAAGCCAATTGCTAGCCGCCACGTGGGAATATTTTAGAAGTGGCCAATAGTGGGACACAAATTTGCATGCGAATGGCGGGAACTCCTTTGCACCGTGCATTTCTCTTTGCAACTAAGAAATGCACCCTGCAAAGAAAGCTCCTAGTGGCGCGAAATAATTTAGCAGTGCCAAAGCGCGCATAAACAAAATCACACCCTTGGGTTGTGACAAAGTGGACTTTCCCAGGGTTCTGGTTCTGTCCTGAGTTGTTTTGTTTAATAGCTTCATTAATAACTCAGATGATGGAATTGAATGCATGATTTGCAGACAACACTAAGTTGGGTGGAGTTGTGGATACTCCAGAAGGTAGGGCTAGGATCCAAAATCTCTTGGATAGGCTGGAGAAATGGTCTGTAATCAATCAGATGAGATTCAGCAAGGACAAGTACAAGGTCCTGCACATCGGAAAAAATAATTGCAGGGACAGATGCAGACTGGAGGATGACTGACTAGGCTGCTGTACTGCAGACAAGGACCTTGGGGCTACAATAGACCATAAGATGATTATGAGCCAGCAGTGTGCTCTGGTTGCTCTTCTGTTCTAGTCAGCACTGGTGAGGCCTCACCTGGAGTACTGGGCTCAGCTTTGGGCTCCACACTTCAAGAATGATGTAAACAGTTTAGAGTCTGGTGCAGAGCAACAAAAAATTATTAGAGGCCTCAAACTTGACTTATGAAGAAAGGCTGAAAGAACTAGGCTGCTTCTTCCTTTGAAGAAAACAAGACCAAGGAAAGATTTGATAGCAGTCTTCAAATACCTGAGTAGCAATTACAGAAAGGATGGAGATTAGGTTTTTTCTCTGTGGCCAAAGGGGACAGGACTAGAGCCAATGTCTTCAAATTTCAGCACTGGAAATTTAGGTTGGAGATTAGGAGGAACTTTCTGACTCTGAGGGTGGTCAAATATTAGAATAGGCTACCTAGAGAAATTGTGGGGTTTTCATCCTTAGACTTTCAGTCTTCAAAAGTAGGTCAGGGAGACACTTGGCTGGGATGGTATAGCCAGGGATGCTCCTGTCTTGAGCAGAGGGCTGGACTAGATGACATTGGGCACATCTACACAAGACATTTACTATGGAGCTAACTAATTAGCTCCACAGTAAATGTCTCAGGCTCTACTACTGCGCCCCCTATTAGGGCACAGAAAATTAATAAACTCCACAACAGGGCAGTACTTGTAAATTAAGTACTACCCTGCTGTGGAGTTTTTTTCCGCACACAACAGCGCACATGTAGATAATGACCTGGCTGGCTGGGGCTTCAGTTTGGAGGCTGCCTTCCAGCTAGCCCCACACTTAAGTGCCTTCATGCCCCAGCCAGCTCCTCCGCAGCACATTAAGCTCGGTCAGAGCAGCCCCAGGCTGGCAGGCTGACTCCCAGGGCCTCTTGCCAGCCGGGCTGCTTCGACTGGGCTTCATGTGCTGTGTATGATTATTCATGTGCACTAATTGTATGCAACATGCCCAGTGTGAGGTCCCTTCCAACAGTACTATCCTGTGTCTTTTTTTTTCTATCCCAGAATGTAGTACAGCCTGTTCATAATACCCTCAGCTAGAGCACATGACTCCCAGAATTTTATAAAGAGAAATCAAGCACGACAAGGAGCATGTTCTCTTTTAGCTTTGTTGGCAGATCAAAAACCTCTTCCCAGGGGTCTAGTATTCAAATAGCAGTTGGCCCACACCATCTCTGTTATCTCAGGAGTCATTTAATCCTCCAGTAGATTCCTTGTGGGACATTACAAACTGACAACAATATGTGTCACTGCCAACAACGTGTCACTGCCAGTCTCCTTTGCTTTCCACCATTCCCAGCTGTTGCTTCTCCAGCCTGCGTTAATACTTTCTTTGCCACCCAATGAAGAGGGGACAGTGCTGTGGAGGTAGTTACTGTCCCACTTTTTGTGTGTGTGCATAATATGGGAAGAATGAAAACCAAGCACAAATTGTACCTCCTGGTTCAGTATACACTGGAGACTATCTCATCTCAGTTAATCCTAGTATTTAAGGTTTATATTAGACCTTATCTATCACCCCCTTCCCTGGGATAGAATTCTTCCTTCTAGGGAAGATAACTACATCTGCATACAATATGGCAGATAGGGTAACAATAACCATATACAGCAACAGCAGTACTGTTCCCTGTAATGATCACAAGGGAAAGGTATGCAGCAGCAGTTTCAACCAGACAGTGCCTTGGTTCAGCTCTATACTCCTACTTCAGTCTTTTAAGCCCTTGCATAAAGAATATTATCACTGTATCAACAAAAACAGCAGAGTCAGTTACTTAAAAATGTTATCCTTTAAAGGAGGCTCGCTGAGGGCAGATAATGGCCAGGAGACCTTGGCTAGATGATCTGCTACTTTTGGGCTGCATGCAGTGACTAATCCACTGGGCTTTATGGATGTATTTAAATTGGATATATGCAGTCAATGCATTATTTATATCCAAAAGCATGAATAATTCAGCATGCCCACACTTAGCAGGTATCCAGTCTGTGCCAAAAGTCTGCACTAGATACTTGCTTTCAGATTCATGAAGAGAATATAAAATGACAGCCTTGTAAAACAATGGTTTCACACCTTGCCTGTTTTGCACCCCTATAATGTTCTTTTCTGCCTCAGTGGTCATAGCTACATGTGCCTTAATGCGCTGTTGTTAGAGCACATTATGTTTCCAACCTCTAATATGAGGTACTAACTAAATGCACAGTAACTGGTGCTACTGTGTAGTAGCACTGGTACACGGTCTTTTTTGTGACGGTTAATGCACAGTATATTAATTCTACTGTGCATTAGCACAGCTTTTGCTGTGACATGCTAATGCTCAGTAGAATTAGCCTACTGCACATTAAGCATCTCATGTAGATGCACTCAGTGTATCTCAAACTCAAACCTATCTCTTGTGTTAGAAAGTACAGTGTATATGACAACATGCTCTTTGTCATTTCCTTTTTCTGAATACTCCAAAATATATTACAAACATTCATCATGTCCCCCCATGCACTTGTGGGATAGATAAAATAGTATCAGTTCTATTTTAGAGTTCTTGAAGCAGAGAGCTAGAAAAAATGAGGGACTGCCCAAGGGTTTATGGCAAGAGACAGAGCAGGATAATAAAATCCACTTCTAACATACAATGCCTTGCTTCCCACTGCACAACTGAATGTCATCTGTAGTTGTACCACCAGTTTTATGATATGTACCCTAGGGCTGCAGCTGAGAGAGCAGCCAGTGGCGGGGGTCATGGCTTGAGCTTGACCCCCTCCTTCAGTTGTCATCTCCTAGGAGATGAAGGGCCTGAGTTCAAGGCTATTTGGGGTACAGAGAGCACTGCTCAGTAGCAGCTTAATTTTTTATTTTTTGGGACCAGGTGAAACATCCTTTTCCCTCTACCACCCTCCCCCCCACCGCCCATGCCATACCACATCAGATGTCCAAGAGAAATAATCACACTACCTATATCTTGGGTGGCTTCAGGGCTGGGTGTTGAGCCTAGCAGCCAATGCGCATGATTTCAAAGCAGCCTGCGGCCTCATGTAGCAGGGTAGGTCATGCTTCTTGGTAGCAGCCACATTTTTTTGGTGGGGTAAGAGGGCATTGGGCTGGCCCAGAGCTACTCAAGCCATACCAGTTAAGGAGTATGAGAGATTCTGGGATGCCTAGCTGGGCTGCTCAGTAACTCCTGGGCTGGGCACTGCAGCTCGGAGGTAGAGTGTGAGTTCAGGCTGCCTGCTCTTGGGCTGATGAAGTTTTATTGGCAATTGCTCCATTTGGTTTGGAAGTTCTGGATTGTTAACATCTGACCCAAAGAAGTGTTAGCTTGGTTAGCAGTCTAGGTTGTTGAAGACATACAGCAGCTCCCTTGCTGCAGATGTATCCTTTGTTCTGCTAGGCTAAGCAAACCAAGTTCTTTTCTTACTCATTTTTTCTCCTAAGCTAGCCTCTCCATGCCTCAAACCAGCCAATCTGACTTTCCCTGCACTGTTCAAGTATCAGGTTTTTTGTTTTGTTTTGTTTTTTTGAACATGCATGAACCGAACTTTGAGACAAGGTCTCACCAGATATTTGAACAATGCCATTAATGCTTCCCTAGCTCTGCTGGAAATATGCTGCCACATGCATCCTAGGGCTGTACTTCCTTTTTCATGGATGTATCACACTGGTGGCTCAGAGTTGTCCTGTGATTGATTAATACCCTCAGGTTCCTCTCCTCTTCTGTCATTCCCAGAAGATGAGTTCACACTTTAGAGCAGACATTCCTAGTGTTACATCCTAAATGCAGGACCTTGCACTTTGTACTACCAGTATATTTTGGACTAAATTGCACTATATTGTACTAAATTTAATTCCATTTCTATTTCTCCAGCCTCCACAGTCATCCAGTTTCTTCTGTAGGATATGCTAATCCTCCACCTCTACTGAAAAAAATGCCTCCAAACTTTTGTGTCACCAGCAAATGACATTAGCACACTCCTCCTTGTTGTTCCAAGGTCAGGAATGAAAATATTTAATATGACCAGTCCCAAGATCAGTCCTTAAGGAGCTCTTGTAGTATTCTCCCTCCAACAAGATATTTTTCCTTTCTGCACTGTCAGTTATAACCAATTCCTTATCTACCTTACACATTTTGTACTAATTCTCATTTTCTCCAGATCCACTAAAATGTTCCCATGTGTCACTATAACAAATGCTTTACTGAAGTCCAGATGCATTAGATCTCCTATTTCAATATTTTGGCTAGAAATTCAGTTATCTTAATGAAAAAAACAGGTTAGTATGACAGTCCCGTTTAGTAAACAGAGATTGCATTTTATCTCACTTTCCATTTACCTAGATGTTTTTAATTATGCTTGCATCTCCCTGAACTCAGACTAATGGCCAATTGCTGTCTAGATCACATACCCCCACCACTCTCTCCTTAAATAAAGGTCTGATATCTCTGGCTTGATAGATTTATTGAAAAACATGCGTACCAGAAATTTAATTTCATGTTCCAATTCGTTCAGGATGTGGGGATAAAGATTTTCAAATTCCCCTGACTTGAGCATATTCTGCAAGTTTCGCCTTTCTTCTACCTTGGATGGGGTAATTTCTAGGGCTGTGCAAAACAGCACTGTTCCATTTCAACTTGCGTTTCGACAGAACAGTTTCATTTAGATTTGAAACTGCTGTTCTGTTTTGTTTTGTTGAAACAGTGATGTTGTTTTGACGCTGTTCAATGTTTCGCCCATAGGCTATAACAGGGGAGCGCAAAACAGTCTCTTTCATCTGGCAGGCAGATTGGGGGCCTGCAACCCCAGGAGGGCTGTGGAGGCTGTGCCAGTCCTCCCAGGGTTGCAGGCCCCGGATCTGCCTGCCAGATGAGGGAGGGAAGCCAGGTGCTGCTGCCTGGGACCGGTGCTAGCACGCCACCGGTCCCAGACAGCAGCACCCGGCTTCTCTCATCCCACAGGCATATTGGGGGCCGCAACCCTGGGAGGTCTGTGGGGGCTGTGTGATCAGGCTCAGTTCCCCTCCCCAGCACTGCAGTCGATCAGGTTGGGGAAAGGAACTCAGCCCAGCTGAGCTGAGCTCCCCTCCCCAACACTGCAATCGATGTGGCCGGGGAAGGGAACTGAGCCTGATCCTGGTGCTGGGGAGGTCAGCTCAGCTGGACTGAGTTCCCTTTCCCAGCCCCATTGATCACAGCACTGGGGAGGGGAACTGAGCAATCGGGCTCAGTTCCCTTTCCCAGCCTGATCGTAGCACTGGGGAGGGGAACTCAGCCGGGCTGCTTAGAAACTTGAAATCTTTCAAAACTTTTGAAACATTTCGACTGCCCTTGTTTTCTTTTGAGGCTGTTTTGAAGCCCCTTGTTTTATTTTGATTTCGCTATTTCAAGCTCAAAAATGAGTTGAAACAGTGTCAAAATGAAACAGCCAGTGAAATTTTGCACTGCCCTAGAAATTTCCATTCCATAGCCTCATTTCTTTTTTTTTTTTCTTCTGTTGGAGAGGAAATGTCTGCTGCTATAAAATGGCCCCTTCTCTGGACTCTAACAGGACTCTCCAAGTTGGGACTAGTAGTTGTCCCATCCTGTATCTATCAGACCTTCCCAATCTAGTGATTTTCCTCATGGTACTCAAATCCTAACCTTTCTTTCACCTTCAGATTAGCTCAGCCCATAAAACCCTATATTTTCTGCCCTGTCTGCATGCTTCTCAGCAGACTTCACACCCCTGGTATCTTAATGCAACTGTCCTTGAAGAAATGTGAAAAGGATATAATAATAATAATAATAATAATAATAATAATAATGAAGTTGTCAGCATAGTCCTTGTTTATACTGGGGATTTTCTTTTTTTCTTCTTTCCAGAAAAATCTCCATCTTTCCCCCCACTGGTGCAGCTACTGCAGCAGACACTGCTCTCCAGCCTTGGCAGCTGTTTTCATTACTATGTCAGCTTAATCTGTTCAGAGCAAGTCTAATTAACAGCGGGCAGAAAACAGCTGACGGCAACAGTGAGCCATCTTCATAAGAGTTCCCGATGTCATTGACATCAGTGCAGCTGATGACAATGGTTGTAAGAATTCCCTAGTGAAGAGATGGCCTACATGTGTAGTGGGGGCAGGCCAGTGTCTGAGCATTGCCATAAAGACACAGCTCATATGAAAGATGCTGCATGGGCGTGAAGGGCAGCTTTATAGCTCAGTCAAAATAAAATTGTTTGTTTTTTTTCATCAGGACACTTCAGTTCGTTTCTCCTCAGTGCAGGCAGTGTTGCTGCCAAATTTACCTATCATCCTGCAGTCCCTGAACTGTTCAAGAGTCATTCACAGTCCTTATTTTGTTGGGTGAACTGAAACAAAACTTTTATTTGTTACTGCCCAGCCCCAAGTGTAATCGACTAGCTGACAACCTGCATCACTGGTTCTCCTGAAGATTTTCTTTTGAGGGAAGGGTTAAAGAAACATGCCTAAGTGACCACGTTTCATTATTTTACATAGAAGTAGAATGCTCAGGAGAGATCTTTTGGTCTCCCACCAATACTTGCTGTGAAAGTGGAACCCAATTTCTGAGCCCTTCCAAGATTACAAATTTCTAAAACGAACCACATTAAAATACAAACCAGTAAATTTAGCATGAGGAAGAATAGTCTTAGATGTCTTGTATTGACCTTGAACAAACCATAATATTTCTGTAGTAAAGTTCCTTATTTGCAATTGATCTTTCTCTCCCCACACTGGTTTTGTGAGGATAGAAACATTTTAAATTTGCAAGGTGCTCAGATATTCTGCTAACATGGGCTAAATAACTAAAATAGATATGTCCCCCTATAGTTCCCACAAAATATAAATGTACGGGGCGGAATCCAGGTGTGGGTGTGTGTGTGGTGGTGTCCATGCCCCCGCCTTCTGCCACTGCTGCTGCTGCCCCATGGATGCACCCGCCTTCTGCCACTGCTGCTGCTGCCCCAGCTGCTTTGGGCACAGGGGGTGCCCCAGAGCTGCTTCTGCCCCAGTCCAATCATGAGCTGTGACACTGAGGGGTGCTAGGCTCAGCAGGGGGCAGTGGTGGTGGCACACAGATTCTTTCTTCAAGTGCCTGCTCCTTGCCTCCCTATCCTCCACAGGTGTCCCCCCTGGCCAGGCACAGGTGATGGAAGAAAGAACCTGACTGCTACAGCTGCTGTCTACAGCTGATGCAGGCATGTGGGGGAGCCGCTCCTGTCCTGCCCTACAGGGAGCCATTGTGCCGATAGCTCAGTCAGGGACAGCAGCAGTTCTCAGGTTTCTCTTTCCAGTGCCTGCTCCTGGCTAATGGGGGGCATGGGGAAGAATGGTGGACAGATAGCAGAGACTGGAAGGAGGAAATTGCATGCATCCAGCCAAACCCAGAATCCTGCATAGCTGCCTTCCACAGCCCCCAGCTGGAGCAGGGCAGGAATGGTTGTGGGCTCTCCCTTGCCCCCAGGTCAGCCTGGGACAGCAGCAGAAGTGTCCGTAGGGGGGCAGGGGGAAGTCCCCCCACCTCTATGCACCTGTTTCCTGCCTGGCTTCTAGTGTCCTCCACTCACCTAAGGACTCCAGACACACCACTCTCCCATCACCTATGGTCTAAAGGGTGATGTGCTGCATCCTCTTTTAGTAAATCCTGGATCTGCCCATATATATGTACTGAGCACTTCAGATGACTTCAGTAACCACTGAAATACAAGAGTTGGGAGGACATAGCTACTGTATAAGTGCATAGCAACAGTACAAATAGATTATGGAAGGAGTAGGAATAAGAATCATTCTTCTGAAACCATGCAGGAATTTGAAGTTGAAAGGATGTGACTGCTCACACTGGAACTTTGCAAGGACACAGGAACCAGATGCTTCAGACAGGTAACATGAGATCCTTAATGGCCATAAGCAGCAGAACTTGGTTTTCCATCTCAGCTAACAGATGGTACTTCCAATAAGAGACTGCCTACCCTCCTTTTCATTCCTGACAATTGCTTTTGGATTAAGAGGGAAAAATGACATTCACGCAGTCGTTCAAAAAGTTGCCTGCTGCACTCAAGATTTTTCTGAGGATGTCTTATTCAAGTAGCAACCCCACCTAATCTGCCTTAAGTACAGAAATCTGACAAAATCACAGCTCATGGGGGTAAGTCTGCAGATGGAAGATGCTTTCCCCTGCAGTACAGCAGTTTGTCCTTAACGAAAGATTAAGGGATAAGAACTGTTTCAAGTCCTAGGTAAAAGTTTCAAAGAAACAAGCAGGAACTGAAGACAAAGTCATCCTTTTCATGATCAATTTTTCCTGTTTTGGCATCCTAATGACTGCCTATAATTCCTCCGTTCGTATATGCTCAGTCAACCGTAGAATCATTTCATGATCTCCCATTGTGTACTCCATCAAAAAAGACAGCTCCTGAGCTCCAGAGTGAGCCTTAAGCTCATTACCAAAGGAGGCAGAAGATAAAAGGGTTGAAGAATTGCAGTGTGATCTCCAGATAAGATCTCCATCCCTCTTTCTGATGATATTGCACTGAGAATGGAAAATCCCTCACAGACACAGAAAGCTCAGTGTCAAAGAAATGGCATCATTTCAGAATGCTATGATAGTAGATGCCTGTGCTGTTAAATCATGATAGTGTGTTATGATTTAGGTGTGGCATAACATGTGGCCTTGAATTGTGATACAATAATTACCGTGTAGTGATGCAACTGTATTATGACAACAGTGGTTCTGCTGTCTGTTTTAGGAATTACTTTGATGAGGCTAAGATGCTCTGAAATCCAGCTGCATTATCAATGTAATCAGGCTATCAAACAGAGAGAGTCCCAATGACCTCTTCTAAATTATGACACTGAAAAAATACAATTTTGCAAACCAGAATTTGACATCCTAATGCAAAAGGGTTGGGTGGGGGTGGGGGGGGCACACCTCCTTTAGTGAAAAATGAGGAAACCTTAGAGCTTCAGGGAAGTAATTCACAGGGTAAAATCATCAGTGCCAGATTCCTAGCTAATATGGAGCTATGTTGATTTATGCTGTCTGAGAGCTTGGCCCCATAGTCTTTTAAACTAGTTTGCAGACCCTTGTTTTGTTCTCTCGTCCCTTCAGGCATTTTCAGATAACAAAATTCAAGAGCGAGTGTCAGCCAAAATGAATGTGAAATCCCCAGTTCAACACTTGGTGGTTAGGGGAAAGCTTCTTTCAAAGCTGTCTCCAGTCTAGATGTTAATCTTTGACATATTAAACCCCTTCTAATTCTACAGCCACTCAGCTCTCACCAACTTGTTTTAGAAACTGTATATAAATATTAGTACCATAAATCCAAATGCAGGGCTTTGCATAGAAAACTAAGCAGGCAAGGGAAGATGGGAAGAAGAATGTATGTTTACAGTATGTAGGTAGTATAAATTGAGGTTACACATCCTATCACCATAACATCAAAGCATCTCCCTAGTATAGGGACATTTTTCCCCACGGCACTCCAGGTAAGAAAATAAGTAATTTCTCAGTTTTTCAGCTATAGAGTCAAGGCATGGACATTAGTGCTAGACGTTGCAGAACTGCAGTTAAATATACACAGCCTGTAGCATAGCTCAAAAACTTCTCAGTACATATTTACTAGTTAGGGTTTTCAGAAAAGTCTAGTAGATGCAGGCAAATCTCCTGAGAGCACTCAGGAGTAAGCTGTGCATGGTGTGGTTCTCTGAATAGAGGTGGGCATTTGCTCAATCAGGGTTTTCAGATTACCTGGTGATTTCCACATATTCAATCAGGCTCTGCTGACAGCCACATCAGGGGTCATGAACGCATTGCAAGGTGCAAATTCAGTGACTCAGCAGCAGCTCCAGAACAGGTACACTTGGCTAAAAATTCCTGACACACAGGGCAACATGAATGAAGACAGCAAGAGTGAAAACTAGAGCAGGAGAGAAAGAAAATAGTTCAAACTGGGAAGGGGGAATGAGGAAGAGCCTTTTTGTAGTTCACAGCTGTAACAGTGCAAGTTTGCCCCACAGCCATTGTGTCTAAGTGAGGAGCTGAGAGGACACACATAGATGTAACCTCTCTTTCCGAGTGAAGCTAAATACAGACATTCAAAAAGCCTGAGCCTGAATCGATTCAAACTTTGCAGATTTGTCTAAGAGGCATAGACTGAACCAATAAGTAAGTGAACAGACAGTCACTTTTGATTCTGGAAATGCAGCCACAAGCCTGCAGTGGCTCAGCTTAGAAGCTGGGGGGCACTACAGCAAACCCTCCTTTCCCTTTGGCAGTGGCCAGAAGCCTAGAGGGAAGCTGGGAGAGAAGCCCTCCAGGCTTCCCCCCCCCTCTGCTTGAGCTGAGGAGGGGGGACATGGCCACGCCCCAGCAGGCCCACTAAGTTAAACACCCACTCCTTTCCCTTCCCTCCAGCTCAGCATGCCAGCCCGGGGCCAGTGACCCCACTTCCTTTGCTTAAGCAGCAGCTGGGGGAAAAGCCTGTGAGCAGCTGTTCCACCTCTGCCAGGTAGATCCAGATACAGTCCCGAGCAGGGTTTTCTACCCCACCCCCTTCTCAGCCAGCCAGAGCAATGATAGTACTCTGGCTAGGGAGCAGAGGGGCAAGGCCAACTCTGCTCTGCTGGAGCAGACAGCATAGCCCAGCCCAGGGCAGAAAAGCATGCTAGGATGCTGGGGGACTATGACTTAACCTGAACCAGGAGGGGGTCTGGGACAAGTTACATAAACCAGTTTGACCTAAATCAGTTAAGTCCAATACTACAGTCAACCAGGTTTATAGATTCATAGATTCATAGATGCTAGGGTCGGAAGGGACCTCAATAGATCACTGAGTCCGACCCCCTGCATAGGCAAGAAAGAGTGCTGGGTTCAGATGACCCCAGCTAGAT